AGCATGTACATTACTGTTTAAAAGTCTGGAGTCAGTAAGATTTTAAAGAATTAATACATTTACTAAATATACTGCACAGTATATTGCTTATTACTTTGAAAAATATAGTAAGTGTAGAATTACGCATTATGCGATGCTAAACATTTCAAACAAAACTATTGAAAAAAATTCAAATATATTTGTGTTTTTATGAATTTTAGCAAATAAAATAATTTATATTTATATATATATATATATATATATATATATATATATATATACATATACAATTTTTTTTATCATGTATGTATGTGTGTGTGTGTGATAAAAAATATTGTAGAACAAAATATAACCAACTAAAAAAAATTGATTATTGAAAAAAATGCAGAAATAATTTTAGAAAAAAATATTAAATACAAAAAAATACTACAACATTTTTTTATTTTTTTTTTACATTTTCTAAAGTAAATAAAAAATAAATTCTTATTGAAATAAAATATGCAAAAAATGGAACCATTGGTGAGCATAAGAGACTTCTTTCAAAAACATAAAAAAAAAAATTGTGCAATCCCCAAACCTTTGAATGGTGGTGTATATCTTCTGTATTTTTGTATGCCATCAGAGCCTTGTATAGTTTAAGTGCATAGACGATTAAAAATGAAGTTTGTATTTTATATGCACACAGAGACTCTCCCCATGGCGGAAAACTTCAGCTTCTGTCTGGTGACGCTCCTGTCTGGTCGCTCAAAGAGACCCGGAGTCTCGCTCACAGGTCAGATCTTCAGTGCATCTTTACATTTCCAGCGTACCTTTTCCTTTGCACTCATTTACCGTCTTTCTGTCCAGATTCTGGATGCTGTGATGGAAGTGATGCAGTCTCTGCTGGAGATCTGCCAGACGCCCGAGAACCATGATAAAGGTGATCTGAGCTCTGCTGCACGTCTCAAACACACATTTAGATTCACTCTCACTCTCCTGACTCACCTCCTGTCTCGTCAGTCTACCTGTGCAGGTATGCTTCCATGTCTTCTGGGCGTGGCCCGAGCGTTTGGTCGCTATGGTAACTGCAGGGATCCCCTCCTCTCTCAGCTGTTTCTGCGAGGAGCGCCACAGCCGGCTCAGCGTGTGTCTGTGGAGACCGAGGGCGTTCGGAGGAGATCCTTCAATGACTTCCGCTCTATTTTACCCAGTTCACTGCTCACGGCCTGTCAGGGAGACACGCTGAGACGCAAGAGTGGCATCGCTAACCCTGATGCACAGGTCAACACAACCTTGTATACTGTTTAGTGCATACTGTGCACGGTTATATTGCCTGTTGCTTTTTTAATCTGTCCAGATTCTGGATGCTGTGATGGAAGTGATGCAGTCTCTGCTGGAGATCTGCCAGACGCCCGAGAACCATGATAAAGGTGATCTGAGCTCTGCTGCACGTCTCAAACACACATTTAGATTCACTCTCACTCTCCTGACTCACCTCCTGTCTCGTCAGTCTACCTGTGCAGGTATGCTTCCATGTCTTCTGGGCGTGGCCCGAGCGTTTGGTCGCTATGGTAACTGCAGGGATCCCCTCCTCTCTCAGCTGTTTCTGCGAGGAGCGCCACAGCCGGCTCAGCGTGTGTCTGTGGAGACCGAGGGCGTTCGGAGGAGATCCTTCAATGACTTCCGCTCTATTTTACCCAGTTCACTGCTCACGGCCTGTCAGGGAGACACGCTGAGACGCAAGAGTGGCATCGCTAACCCTGATGCACAGGTCAACACTACACTTGTATACTGTTTAGTGCATACTGTGCACGGTTATATTGCCTGTTGCTTTTTTTTAAAAACATAATCAGTGTAAAAGTATGCATTATGCAATGATAAACGTTTCAAACAACATGTATGTTACACACTGTCACAGGGCACTTTGCATGGTTTAATTCTGCGAGTAGCATCTGGGTAATATCTCAGTAAAAAATTGAATTTATTGAAATACATGTGCAAAAAAAAAGGTGAAGCATTTTGTCTCTGATTCATTCCTCAAGACTCTGGACGCTGTCGTGTCTGAGGTTACAGAGGTGAAGCCACACGTTTCATTTACTAGGATTTATATCAGCATTAATATTGAATTGTCACAAACCAGATGCTTAAGCCTGTTTGCTTGTTTAGCTCTTCCTGATTCGCCCATCCTTTTTTCTCTGTTAACGAAGGCAAATCCAGGCATCGATCTCTTTTACAAAGCCTTCAGCGACCCGCTGTACATCAGCATGTTCAAGATGCTGCGAGACACGCTCTATTACATGAAAGGTTGCTGAAATCTAGCCGTTATTTAGCTCAAATGATTTATTAATCACACCTTTAATGTTTGTGTAGTGTTTGTTAATGCCTTTGACCTTTGCCGTATGTGAATGTTTCATGTGGATCTCTGGTCAGATGTGCAGACGAGCTTCGTTAAAGAGGTGCATGACTTTGTTCTGGAGCAGTTCAGCAGCAGCCAATCAGAGATCCAGAAGGTTCTCCATGAGGAACGGTTGCCAGGGGAACCCAGTCCTCTCAAGCTCCGTTGTCATGCCAACGCAACCTGTGTGGACCTCATGGTGTGGGCGGTCAAAGATGAGCAAGGTCTGTAGCTTTCTTTCAGTCACTGACAATCACTGCTTTTACTGCATCTCAGGGTCGTCTAGTAGGACAGACCAGGGCATGTTGTCACACTCCAGTGGAGGCGTCTCTGGGTGGGTTGTGTTATATTATAATATACATTTCTATATAAACATGAAATCAAAACCAACTCTTTGGTCATGCATATTTCTGGTTTTATTGTGAGCAATTCATGAGTTCACGTTATTATAAAGAAAAATGTGCTTTTATCAAAATGCAGTAATTGCTTTCTTTTTTATGACTTTCCATTTTGTTGCACTGTAAGAAATTTATAATTTTTTTTTAAATTTGTGAATGAAACAGATTAGTGGAGTGCAAGAAAATTTACCAGAAAATACTACTTCAGTTTTTCTTCTTCAATTTCATTTTTCATATCTTTATTATTTGTGAAATTCACTAGCAATTTGAGTAAAAGTTTTCTATATATATATATATATTTTGTGATGGGGTTAATGCTATCCAATAGCAGTTGTTATCATAAGTTAAAACTATTACAATTAATATTTGTTAATTGAAATTAAGCTGAAATAATATCTGAATATCAGATGGTAAAACTTAAATGAAAATGTTCCTATTTAACTGAAATAAAATAGTCTGAAGTATTAAAACTACTAAAATTAAAATAAAAATCACATAACAAAATGACTAAAACTAAAAAGAAATCCTTTATTTTAATTTTTTCAGGTATTCCAAAATATTATTAAATACTATAACAGTACATAAATAATACTAAAATATCACTGACCAATAGTAAAGTAGATATTTAGTCATTTTGTCAGGATGCAGGTAATAATTCAGCCAAAAAAAACAGCAAAGTCACATTCATCACTTTTCACCATGCAGTACATAAGTTCATGTCTCTTCCTACATTGTCATTAATTTCAATAATACATTTCATACCGGAGTGTGTGTGTGAGAGAGCTCATGAATGACTCGTGTGTGTGTGTTTGTGTCTGTCTGTCTGTTTGTGTCTCTGTGTGTGTGTGTGTGTGTGTTTGTGTCTGTCTGTCTGTGTGTGTGTGTGTGTGTGTCTGTCTGTCTGTGTGTGTCTCTCTCTGTGTGTGTGTGTTTGTGTCTGTCTGTCTGTGTGTGTGTGTGTGTGTGTCTGTCTGTCTGTGTGTGTCTCTCTCTGTGTGTGTGTGTTTGTGTCTGTCTGTCTGTGTGTGTGTGTGTGTGTGTCTGTCTGTCTGTGTGTGTCTCTCTCTGTGTGTGTGTGTTTGTGTCTGTCTGTCTGTGTGTGTGTGTGTGTGTGTCTGTCTGTCTGTGTGTGTCTCTCTCTGTGTGTGTGTGTTTGTGTCTGTCTGTCTGTGTGTGTGTGTGTGTGTGTCTGTCTGTCTGTGTGTGTCTCTCTCTGTGTGTGTGTGTTTGTGTCTGTCTGTCTGTGTGTGTGTGTGTGTGTGTCTGTCTGTCTGTGTGTGTCTCTCTCTGTGTGTGTGTGTTTGTGTCTGTCTGTCTGTGTGTGTGTGTGTGTGTGTCTGTCTGTCTGTGTGTGTCTCTCTCTGTGTGTGTGTGTTTGTGTCTGTCTGTCTGTGTGTGTGTGTGTGTGTGTCTGTCTGTCTGTGTGTGTCTCTCTCTGTGTGTGTGTGTTTGTGTCTGTCTGTCTGTGTGTGTGTGTGTGTGTGTCTGTCTGTCTGTGTGTGTCTCTCTCTGTGTGTGTGTGTTTGTGTCTGTCTGTCTGTGTGTGTGTGTGTGTGTGTCTGTCTGTCTGTGTGTGTCTCTCTCTGTGTGTGTGTGTTTGTGTCTGTCTGTCTGTGTGTGTGTGTGTGTGTGTCTGTCTGTCTGTGTGTGTCTCTCTCTGTGTGTGTGTGTTTGTGTCTGTCTGTCTGTGTGTGTGTGTGTGTGTGTCTGTCTGTCTGTGTGTGTCTCTCTCTGTGTGTGTGTGTTTGTGTCTGTCTGTCTGTGTGTGTGTGTGTGTGTGTCTGTCTGTCTGTGTGTGTCTCTCTCTGTGTGTGTGTGTTTGTGTCTGTCTGTCTGTGTGTGTGTGTGTGTGTGTCTGTCTGTCTGTGTGTGTCTCTCTCTGTGTGTGTGTGTTTGTGTCTGTCTGTCTGTGTGTGTGTGTGTGTGTGTCTGTCTGTCTGTGTGTGTCTCTCTCTGTGTGTGTGTGTTTGTGTCTGTCTGTCTGTGTGTGTGTGTGTGTGTGTCTGTCTGTCTGTGTGTGTCTCTCTCTGTGTGTGTGTGTTTGTGTCTGTCTGTCTGTGTGTGTGTGTGTGTGTGTCTGTCTGTCTGTGTGTGTCTCTCTCTGTGTGTGTGTGTTTGTGTCTGTTTGTCTCTCTGTGTGTGTCTGTCTGTTTGTGTCTCTCTGTGTGTGTGTGTGTGTGTGTGTGTTTGTGTCTGTTTGTCTCTCTGTGTGTGTGTGTGTGTGTTTGTGTCTGTCTGTCTGTTTGTGTGTGACATTTCCATCGACAACGTCTGCAGGTCTGCCTCACCTTTATGTTATTTTCTGAAGTTCACTTATAATGAAATCCATCTCTGCATCTGCTCTGAGTTGGAGTCATTTATAACGTGCATATGGTACACAGCATGTGCCAACCATCTGCACAAACTCATAATGAGAAACGCTTCTCAACAGCTTTAAGGCTGTCTGCAGTTTTCCTGTCAAAATAACAATGTTAATCATTTAAATTAAGAAATTAAGACATAAATATGAGTATTGTCATTTGACAGTCATAATGTAAAATAAAATATTTTTTCTTAAGTACTCCAATATAATACAATTTTAAACAATATAAAATAATCTTTTTATTTTTATTTAAAGGCCTTGTCACACTGAACGTGATGCTAAAATGTGATCCTCGCTTTTTTTCTATGCCACGAATGATCACGCCCAGTGTGAAAGCTTCTTAGCGGTGAAACATTACAAGAATATTTCATATTTTGTTTTTACTTAGTAATTTTTAATATTTTTATTTAGTAGTATTGATAATAATATTTCCATAAAAATTTCCATAAATTCTCTAACTTAATATATTTAATATAACTTTTTAATAATAAATAATATATTTTTTATTTAACAGTGAAATATTACAAGAGTAATATTTCTTTTTATTATTTAGTAATTTTTATATTTTTTATTTAGTAGTAGTTGAAGTAATAGTTTATTATTATTATTATTATTATTATTATTATTATTATTATTATTATTATTATTATTATTATTATTATTATTATTATTATTATTATTATTATTATTATTATTATTATTATTATTATTATTATTATTATTATTATTATTATTATTATTATTATTATTATTATTATTATTATTATTATTATTATTATTATTATTATTATTATTATTATTATTATTATTATTATTATTATTATTATTATTATTATTATTATTATTATTATTATTATTATTATTATTATT